TTAGAGGGTTTGGATCATTTGGACGGCTTAGGATGAGGGGAGTGAGAAGGCATGGTAGACGATACATGAACACGAGCGGACAGCGGGACATGGTCCTGAAGATCATCCTCGTCTTCAATCTCGTCATCCTGGCCGAGAGCTCGACGAGTACGCTCGGTGGGAGAAGAAGGAGGGCGACTGGTGACCTCACCCTCAGGCTGGTCGACAAGATATGTGGAGGGAGAGAGAGCAGTGGCTGAAGGGCTGTCGCTGGTCGATGCAGGGGGAAGGACGGAAATGGGCTCAGGTTGAAGAATTTCTTGTACAGAATCACTCGAGAGGCTAAGGGTTGCAGAAGAAGAAGGGGGAGTTAGGTCCTTCCTGCTGTAACGGTCATTCTCACTCGAAGTAGCAGAATCTGAGATAAAAGGGAGAAAAACTATAATTAGTTGGAGGAAGGAACAAAAACAGAAGAGAAGGAGGAAAAAGGCGAGGGAGAACACAGCAGGAAGGACGAACAATGGACGGAGCCATAAATCGACAAGAGGTTGAAGAAGAAGAGGAAAAACCCAAAAATTAAAAGCGCATAAACACAAATTGAAAGATAAAGAAGACTTACTCATGATAGGTGGTGAAGAGCCTGTTGAGAAGATGAAGGATTCAAGATTGCTGGATGCTCGACAGTTGCAGAAAGCTCTAGTGTGCAGGAATTCGACAGTGGGAAAAAGGGAAAAACTTACCTAAGTATGGGTATATATAGAAGCAGAAAGTGAATGGGAGGGAGTATAAACCGCAGGATCACAAATAATGAAGGGCTACGATGAGAGAGCAGGTGAACGGACGCTTATTTCGAACTGTAGGATTAAAAGTAAAAAATTCAACGACAGGAAGGAAAGAGGCGCATAAAGGGGTGCGAGGCTCGAGGCAGCGCATGCTGCGAGGTTTGCACGGTTCCCAAGTAGCTGGAAAGGCGCATCTCAAAAAGGCGGACAAATGACGAAAATTCAAAATTTAAAATATGTAAAGTGACAATCAAGAGAGAAAATAGCCACACAGAATATAGGAAATGATTTATTTGGTCGAAAACAAAGAAGCGAAATCTCCTCGACAAAGATCGAAACCTACTCTTAGGTCGAGTCATTCGGACTCGACCAGAGTGGGGGGACTAGATGATATGGGATATCATATACCGGACCGGTTTATAGGGCTAATCAAAGAAGACCGACCGGTTTGCTGGACTATCTAGTGGGAACAAGATCGAATGGCATGGTTGAGTAGGACCAGACACCGGCCACTAGAATGTCGAGCAGACAGCGACAGTTAAGGAAATCAGAAGTGGTCAACAATAACGAGTCATCCAAGGATATGGTCGAAGGAGGACGATCGAGGAGAGACAGACATACATAACTGGTAGAGCATCGGAGCACATAAGAAAATCTCCAGCACATAAGGAGGAGGACACGCGACGCATTATGAGTGGTCAACAGCCGTAACCAACTCTGACATTCTCTGACAAAGGTGACGCATTTTCTGACACTGAGGATAGTGGAGGCGCGCGATCGTACGGACGAGCAGAGGACAATTGGCCGAACGCATCTGGCTCGCGCGTGCAACTCAGGTAACTCGCCCTTATAAATAAGGGCGAGAATCCTCATTTTCGATACGATCTCATATACTCTTACATTTTTCTATACACTAATATCATCTCTCAAGATTTGACTTGAGCGTTGGAGGCTCTTCACCGGAAAACACCTCCGGTGTGGGAGTTTCGTGCAGGTTCCGCGTTCAACCGGCGAGGGAAGCAAGCTCAAGGCGAATTCCAGCCGGGCAGGGTGCGAGACTTGTATTACATGTGTTAGTGTGTTAATGGGTTTGTGTGTTCAGGTTTGATGGGAATGTTCTTACTGCATAATATCCAACCTTTCCCTTGATTTTTTAAACCTTACCCATTACATCCTGAAATTTTTCATTCATTATGTCCTCGCTATATATCTTCATTTTCGGAACCTGAGAACCCCATTTTCATTTCTTTTTCTCTATGAATTATTCGTTTAACCATTTGTGTTCCTGCATCATTTCTAATGTGCTTTTGAAACACTTTGGATGATGGCATGGAGAAGAGATGGACAACATATCAGCGATTAGAGATCAGTTCGGGCAACGTCTTTTGTCTTCGGTCATCTTTATTTTTCTCATTTGTTGTTCTTACTCAGGGGGAGATTTGCCTTTGGCATTTCATTCTAAAAAGGGGGAGAAATAGGATGTTTCTGAAGATGTTCGGGATTATGTTCTAGTTGTTTGTTTCTGATTATTTGTGGTTGCTGTTTTTGACATGTTTATACAGGATGTTAGAACATGTGTGTTTTGCTGTTTGATTGTTTTGTCCATTCTGACAGGGGGAGATGATTTGGTCACTCTGTTTGACATAGGTTCTGATAGCTTGATGTGTTTTGATTGCTCTGATCATAGTCCTCATAGTTGTTTTGATAGGAACTGTTCTGATGTTCTTACATTGCAGGTGTTTGAGTAGGTTACTTCTTGATGTTCGAACATAGATAATTGTTTTGCTTTCTTGAGTTTATGTTGTAGGTTATCTTCAAGAAACACAGTTTTCGAACTAAATGCCAAAGGTGGAGATTGTAAGAACATTAGTTTGGCATCGTCCGACAAACCGTAGTGTTTTATAGAAGATTTCTTGTTAAGCAATCAAAATAAATTAAAGGATGAGCTATCCATACAAGAAGAGTTGTGGACGTTCATGAGAAGATCTAAGGAGGATTTGGAAAGATTCACCACAAGATGTTTGAAGATTTGGAAGGTCGGCTATTTTTGGAAAGTCATGTTCTTATCTGATTCTGGAAACGCAAGATACCATTGGAAGCTCAATTCTGAAGATCTCCAAATCACATGCATGATTTCTACATCAAGGAAACTTACCTTACATGAAGGATTTCGTTTAAATCAGAAAGTATTCAATTGAGAAGGAAATTGACTCCTAAAACGAAAGGAAAAACTTTGAGAAGACTCCACCCTAAGGAGATGTATATATACATTGCTTGAAGATCGAAGATAGGCTGCTGAAATAATTATTTTCCATTCAATCTTCGAGCTTCAAGCTTTTTCAGTTTTATTTTCGCTGTTCAGCTTTCGGTGTTCTTACGCCATCGAAGAATTGAACACGTTTGTTTTGTTTTCTTTGTTTTTCATTCAAACACTTTTGTGATCAGTACTTAGGAATTAAGTACAGTTGTTAGCTCGAGGGGTTCGAGAGTTAGAAATCCATGGGACGTGGCCGGAGAAGCATTGATAGTGTTAGAATATCACTTGTGAGTTGTCCCACATCGTTCATACATGGAAAATAGACTCATCTTATAAGTCTAATGGGCTACTCCTCCTTCCACCAATTGGTTTTGGAACCCCACTTGGGCTTCATATGGGCTTTCCCTGCTTTGGTGCGCTTCATGTTAGTGGGACCGCACCCGTTTTTCCTCCCAGTTTCTTACATGGTATCAGAGCCGGTTCTATTGGGATCGTGCGATGACGTATCCGTTTATGGGAGTTTGTTTCCCCACGTACCCGTTTATGGGAGTCTACTTCTAGTAGGCTTGGGGCACCCAGTTGGGCTTGGGCTTCTCACATCCGTTTATGGAAGTCTGTTTCCCCACGTACCCGTTTATGGGAGTCTACTTCTAGTAGGCTTGAGGCACCCAGTTGGGCTTGGGCTTCCGAAAAACTCACAAGTGAGGGGGCGTGTTAGAATATCACTTGTGAGTTGTCCCACATCGTTCATACATGAAAAATAGACTCACCTTATAAGTCTAATGGGCTACTCCTCCTTCCACCAATTGGTTTTGGGATGGAACCTAACTTGGGCTTCATATGGGCTTTCCCCGCTTTGGTGCGCTTCATGTTAGTGGGACCGCACCCGTTTTTCCCCCCAGTTTCTTACAGATAGGATCGTGTGTAGTTGTGGCTAGACTAGAAGGGAGTTCGAGTCGTGTAAGTCCAAACTATACAAGTGTGAACGATTTATCAATGAACGAGCTCTGAGGGGAAGTGAGACGCTTCCCTGAAGAGTTTTTACATCTTCGGTTTATTGCTTCCGCTATTTACGTTGTTTATCCACGTTCTTACATTGTTTTGCGCACTCGAGCTAAAAATATACGTATCAGTACAAAGCACCTCGAGATTGATTGTCACATTGTTAGGGACAAATATAAGCAAGGCTTTATCACTTCGTTGTATGTGGCTTCAATGCATCAAATTGTTGATTTGTTCACCAAGATAATAGCTGGCGCACGTTTCACTGCTTTGGTGTCCAAGTTGGGCATGCTATGGTCCACCTTGAGAGGCGGGTGTTGGAATTGGAGCTCCTTGAAGTTCACTGTGCATGAAGAACGTGGCCATGCATGTGTTCTTTCTTTTTGGCCAATGTCGTGGGAGTGTTTTCCTCTTTTGTTACTGCATTTTATTTTTTATCAACTTACCAATACGGTGTCGTTTAGGATTTCTGGAAAAGGTGTCGTTTTATGTCTTTGTATTTGTGTTTGTATTTCGCATACGCCGTCGTTCTACTTATGCCCGACTTAGTGTATCATTTTTGTAAATATGTATCTTTTTCGTGCAAAAAGCCAACTAAGTGTATCTTTTTCATGAGTGACAACATAATGTCTCTTTTGTTGACAACGGCCAACTTAGTATATTATTTTTGTAATTTTGCCCCTGCTGGACAGTGTATTTTAGTACAGTACTACTACATGGGCAACGAAATTATCACCTCTACTGATATCAAAATATAACAATTGACCAGCTACTAGCATTTAATATGTTTTTTCAATTGAAGATAATGGTTTACACAATCCATATTGTCTAGATTCCAATAAAAAATTTGAGAATTTAGTCAACAAATTATCCAATAATTCTCCATTGTAGGGATATATATCTTATATAATATTTTGCCATGGTATAAAGTTCCAACAACTGCAGCCAACATAGTGGAAATTGACCATCTTATAAACTATCTACCTCTTGCCAGTAGCAGAAGCATAATTTTGGACATAATTCCTCAGGGAAGGTGATTGGGTAAGAGCAACTGTAGTATTTTGGCTAGCATTTTTCTGTTGCATTCTTCGTCTTGCAATGTAGCCACGAACCCAAGGTGTGACATCCTCATTAACTTTGATCATGATGAAGAAGATAATCCTGTAGATTATAATCATGCTCAAGAGAACGCTGAGGTCCACCCATTTTGATCTCTGCATATCAATCTGGAAAACATTTTCTAATATATATTCTCCTGGAATCTTTGGAAGATCCGGTGACTGATTGTCAAAGACTAAGCCTATTAGATCATTCTGGTACTGCCCCTGAGGATATATAGTTATGACACTAAATTTGTTATTTCATTTCGTTCATTCGTAATATGAAAGAAAAAGTGCAACAAATTCTTGTACTCGCCTGAAGAGCCCAGAAGTGGAAACTTATGTAAGACATCGGGTAACGCCAGAAAGGTTTTGGGATGTCCTTTGGAAGTCGGAAGTAGCCAGAAACAAGCATAAATATCCCCTAAGGAAATATCAAGAAAAATACTATGATTAGGAAATTTGAAATGTGATGTACTGCGTTAATAAATATGCGTTAAACGTACAATTTTTGTTTCTTTGAAAATTTTTCAGGCTGAACAAGAATTATTCACACCTGGATTCCAGCCCCAATGATGATGCCCATAAGGAAATTAGGAACAACACTGGCAATAGCCATCATGAGGCTCTCAACCACAGTGACGCTCGCGTAAAGGCACAATACGAAGAATAAATAGTGCGACAAGCCCGGGTGTAAGCGAACCATGAAGTAGCACACAGTACCGGATATGAAGGTGATTAATATCAGAAATGGCATTGCAGACAAGGTGTTACTGATCACAAAGGCAGTCACACCATAGTGCCCATTAAGTCTTTCCCTTTGGAAAACCTGAACATAAACAGTGACCATTTTTTATTTCAATCTCTCATTTCCTTGGTGTTCTACCTCTTCTTTTTCCCTAAACAAAATAGCGTTTCTGTCTTTTTTCTGTTTTATTTTGAACAATGAAACTATCAGTAGCAATGTTGTACCTTCATATCTTCCACAAATGAAGGGAATCCACCAATCGACATAAAAGTCACAAAACCAAAGACGAAAGATGCACATGCACCCCTTGCCTGTAATATTCAGGTATTTAGATGATAAATTAAATTGAGAATTCAAGAGTACTATAAGCATGCATACATTACCAGATAGTTAGTTTTTTTAAAAAAAAAAAAAAATGTTTCTATAGAACTCATAGAAAGAAGTGATATCTTGTGTGTGATTAAATCATTCAAACTTATCCTGTATGTTGTTGTATTTCGAAATACTTCAACTCTTATGCCCATTGAATAATTGTCTACTCCAAAATATCTCAATTATGCTGGCTTGCAATAAGTGGAGAGTTTATGAAGGGCATTGCCGTGAGATAGTAATCATATATTATATTACCAGGATTGAATTGTAGCTTGTTCCGACATTCAAGTAAATGGTTCCAATGCAAATTGTGACCACGACGTAGATAACAAGCCTCAGCCAGTAGTAACCAAAGTCTCTTGACATATTAACGAATGAGCGTGCGGTTAAGGTAATAGCCTGCATGAAGAAACTTGCTTGGCTCCCTCCAGAATCTAGCACAGTCCCTTTCTGCATGAAATGTAATGAGCCATCTAGCTGTACGAGCAAGTTTAACTTATTAGAATTTCACTGAACAAGACTCACAATTTTGGAGATATCCTCAATCCTTTCTTTTGTTGAATAACAATACTGGGAAGCACGATAAGAGTCAACCAGCGTCCGAATAGCTTCTGTTGTGGTTACTTTTTCCAGAGGATCATCAGTAGCCTCAAACTGAGATATACCGAAAGGAAAATTGAATTAGATGAGTAGAGGTGTGAACCAATAATTTCTGCTTAACTGTTTTTTTTTTT